ATGCAGCTGGTGCTCTTGCTATCTGCCAGAGATCAGTTGACAATTATGGTCTCCAATATGTTGAATTCTTGGGAGATGGAGACAGCAAATCATACAAAGTTCTTGTTGATGAGGCAGTGTATGGTGATGTTGAGGTAACTAAACTCCAATGTATGGGACATATCCAGAAGCGCCTGGGATCTCAGCTTCGCTCTTTGAAGACGAGAACAGGGTAAGCTCGCCTCGCTGATGGAATAGGTATCGGTGGACGGGGAAGGCTAGCAGATAAGACAATAGACAGTATGCAAGGGTACTATAGAAAAGCCATCAGGGGAAATACTCACGACACAGATTCAATGGAGAAAGCAGTGATGGCTATTTGGCGCCACATCAGATCAATAGATGATGATCCTGATCATGATCTGTGCCCGGCCAGAGAAACCTCATGGTGTGACTATCAAAGGGATAACGCAAAGGGAACAGCAGATTATAGTCACCAACATCCACTTCCTGAAGTTGTAGCTAATGAAATCCTGCCTGTGTTTGAATCTCATAGCGATCCTGAGCTCCTAAGGAGATGTTTACATGGTGGGACACAGAACCAGAATGAAGCTATCAACGCACTAATTTGCAAAGGGCATGCAACAAAAGAAACACATTCTTAACGCATCTACTTAAAACAACGAAATTTATGAAAAGGATTACAACATGGTTTCAGGTCACCAAAGAATACTTTACAACTCTTGGCAGGTGTCTTAAATATTTATAGAAAACACGACAACAATTTCTACAACAATTCGGCCTCTTACTTCAGTGTGAATCTTCCGGGCAGCAACTTCCAGCAAAGGTTGTAGAAACCGAACTGAACTTATCGTTTCGATAGATCAGCGAGTCAACCGCTGGTTTTTCGCTTCACTTCTAGTAAATTTAACTAAACACGCGAAAAACGTTTTGATTTATTTTCTTGATTACCTTATGAATCATGTGACTCATGCACCGATTACGCATTTTGCACGCGAATTTAATTGTTTCCTATATAGCTGGT